ACACACCCACACACACACACACACACACACACACACACACACACACACACCAACACATTATACAATAAATGGCATCAATAGCATTATACATGTATATATAAGTTTTTGCTGTGATTTTGTAAGATTACCTTACATTAATTATTTCAAAAATAGTCTGATATGTTGCTTGTTGTGGAAAATGACACTATATACCCACATAAAGTCAGCTTATGAATTTGGAGGCAGTTGCTCTATGAATCATTGATATTTCACTCCTGACTCAGATATCTGAGACAAAGGGACGTGAGAGAATGGCTGCCCTTGAACGCAGGGAGGACAGTGGAAATGATCTGATCCAAGTTACTTTTCCATTGGATTAAGCCTCTTACTGCAGTCCAGCGGAGCAATGACGTGTTGATTTACACATAAGATCACAAATAAAGAGCCGAGGGAATGCATTTAGCATTTGCTATTCTTACACTTAACTGACACTGAATACTTTTGTCTTTTTGAATGTGCCATGCAGCTTTCATTTGATCAACAGATTACCAGAACCACTGATGGAAAATTACATTATTTATCAGCCTCTAAAACTCCAGTACACACTACTGCTGCTGAGACCTTTGAACACCATTTATATTCTTAGCAAATTATAAAATGTTCCTTTTAATCAAGAAGCCTGCAATATCTGCGAACTGTGATAAAATAACTAAATTTTTACATTTTCTGGTTGCAAGGTTGTTCTAGTGGTTTCTAGGTAGTGTGTTTATATTGCTAACCCTAACATGAGCAACAGTAATACAAATTGCTAACCATTTTGCATTTTGTTTGGCCTATGCAGCTAATAATAATAATAATAATAATAATAATAATAATAATATATATATATATATATATATTAACAACAACAATAATAACAACAACACAAACAAATGAACAAATAAATAAATAATTATTTTAGAGTGTACTCACTGGTGGTACATGCGGAGAACATCATACAGATAGTCCTTCTCTGCTTCATTATCAATCAGCAGCTCCACCTGAACAACACAAACACACAAACCTCTGATCAGATAATCAATAACAATCAGAAAACCAATCATATGCCCATCTGTTACCTGATGGTGGCTAATCTGCTGTAGAAATGTTTTGAGGAAGCGTTTTGGCCAGTCAATGATGTAACACATCTCTCTCTCACTGAGTGAGAGACTAAGACGGAAGGTCAGGAGAAGGTGGAGTGAGGAGGAGAGGCTGAGACAGAGAGAGAGGAGGTGGAGGAACTATTGTGTGTCTGTAAGTCAAGCGTCTCTCAGATTGGTTGGGTCTGCTGGTGTTTTCAGTTGAATAGGTCAGGTGGATCTTTTCATGTATTGTGAGTATCATTAGTTCAGATCTGCTCCACTGGACCTGTTAATGTTCCTGAGCTCAGATAAAGACGTTTATCATGCTAGCAGTGTCGCCTTACATAAGAGTGTAGGTGCATTATTATCATAAGAATGTTAAGGAAGTTAATGTAATGTGAGGTTAGCATGCTAAACTGAAAAGCCAAAGGTTTTGATTTCTAAATAAATAAAATAAATAAATAAATTGAACAAACAAACAAACAAATGGCTGGACAAACAAATAAGTTGAATGGGTTGAATGAACGAACAGACAAACAAAATGGTTGGATAAACAAAAAAACACACACAAAAACTAACAAACTAACAAATTGAATTGACTGAATGAACAGACCAACAAACAAATGAACTAACAAAGCAAAAACAAACAAATAAATAAAATGGCTGGATAAACAAACAAAGGAATGAACAAAAATGAATAATACATTTATTTAATGGACTGAATGAACAAACAAACATGAACGGATGAACAAAAACAAATAAAATGGCTTGGAAACAAACAAATAAATCAATTTAATTGACTGAATGAACACAAAAACAGACAGATAAACAAAACAAACAAATAAAATGGCTTGAAAACAAATAAATGAACAAAACAAAAACAAATAAACAAATAAAATGGCTGGATAAACAAACAAATTAACAAAATAAATAAATGAATAATAAATAAATAGCATTGACTGAATGAACAAACAAAAATTAACGGATGAACAAAACAAACAAATAAAATGGCTTGAAAACAAACAAACAAATACATTTGATGGACTGAATGAACACACAAAAACAGATGGATCAACAAAACAAACAAATAAAATGGCTTGAAAACAAATAAATGAACAAAACAAATAAATAAAATGTCTGGATAAACAAACAAATTAACAAAATAAATAAATGAATAAATAAATAACATGGACTGAATGAACAAACAAAAATGAATGGATGACCAAAGTAAACAAATGCAGTTTTTTTACAATCATGTTTGCACTAATAACATAACCTTCATGTCATTTTTCAAAACTCTAGACACATAAGTCACAACTGGTGATCAAAATGCACATTTTTCAAAACACAACACTTAATAACATAACCTTCATGTCATTTTTCAAAACTCTAGACACATAAATCACAACTGGTGATCAAAATGCACATTTTTCAAAACACAACACTTTTTTTCCAAATGCTTGGATACAATACGCATGAACCAAAGATCTTTTGTTCATTGAACTAAAATCACTGGTTCAAAATGACACAACTTAACATCAAATTATTACTATTTCAAAACGCAACTCACGCATTACATCTGAATTGAGTGTCTATTCATTTCATTACAATGATCTAACTATCAATTGATACAGCTGCTCAAAATGCTACATGACCGTTCCATTACTCTTGAAGCATAGTTTATATGGAAAATGATGAACAATATTAAATGTTTAGATTATGAAAGTGAAGCTGAGTATGAGGACTGAGTATGTTCAGGTATGATCAGTTTCCTGTTGTTGGGAGAGAGAAAAAATCCCCAAAAATTCTACATCATTGTTATCAGTATTTGTTTTTAGAGGGTGATAGAGCTGGAAGCTGATGAAAACCATTCATATTTTTGGATGAGGCAGGCTTTAACTTGGCCATGACATGGAGGAGAGGTTGAGAGCCCAGCGGTTGAGAGCGGCCCAGAACGATGTTTGTTGGGGGGCCTGACCACCCCCCACTGAACGTGATTTTGAGGGGGCCCTATAGCAAAATCAGTGCTATGGGCCCAGAATTCCTAGGAACGGCACTGAGAGCAATCATGGTTTCAGGCCCATCCACAGTTTATCAGCTTATCTACCCCCATACTCCCCTTTCCTTACTGTACCCCGACTGAAGAATTTTTCTCCACAAGGAAGTGGAAGGTTTACAATAGGCCCCCTCACAAACAAGTCACTCTTCTCCAGGCCATAGATGATGCATGCAATGACATCACAGGAGGAGACCAATGTCATGTATGTAATATGTCAACAATGGCCTGTATATGCCGAGCCAGAAGATTTTTTCCAAGATGTTTAGCTAATGAAAACATCCATATGATGTGGATGAGAACCTGTGGCCAAATCCACAAGACAGGGTTGATAAAAACATAGAAGTGCAGTGAGGAACACTCCAGTTGACATTTTACAGTTGACATGCCTACTGTAATTTTTCTTATCTAATTTTTTCTTCTTATCTAAATTTTACCTGTTGTGAGTTGATTATTTCATCAATGATTTTCAAATTCTGTTTAATGATTCCAGTCTGTACTGTTCTCTCTAGTCTATTACAATGATGTATGAATGTGTAGAACCATAATGAAAGCTGCATCATGTGTTTTGAACAACTATATTTAATGATTCTACACAGTGAAACTATGGGTATCTTATGTGTGGGTGATCTAAAGTAATGTTCCTATGGTATTTCATATTAAATGAGTTTTTTGAACCAATGCTTCTGCAAATGCAAGGCTTCTTTAAAGATATGAACGCAATATGCAAAGTTTTGAATATTGGAAAGCCTGTGATACAAATAATGGCTGTTTTGAGTTTTGTGTCTAGAGTTTTGAAAAATGACATGAAGGTTCTGTTATTAGTGCAAAAATGACTGTAAAAAACTGTAAAATGGCTTGAAAACAAACAAATAAAATGGCCTAAAAACAAACAAAGAAGTAAATAAAAAGGGCATTATGCATGTAAGAAAGAAAGAAAGAAAGAAATCTGTGCATGCTTGGATGAACTAAACAACAAGAACTACATTTAATTATTCAAATACATTAAACAAGTAAAATGTAAATGCAAATAAAAAGTTTGTGTTTTTATAAAAGTCATGTTTTTATTTTTGTATTTTAATTTTGTGTTAACAATAATTGCATATGACGTGAACATTTTAATTCTTTAAAAAATGTAAAATATTCATAATAAATGAATAATTCGGTAAACTATGTGAACATTGCGGGGAAATAAAAAGCATATCCAAATAGTTCCATATCACCACCAGTGTCATGCCACATATAATAAAACAGTGACTGTGTGCTCAAAGGCCATTTAAGGTGTCATAAACATTTGAATACACCTAGATGACAGTCCACCTTTGGACTTTAACATCATAAACTGATGCTGAAAGCAGAAATATGTAACTTAAATCAGCTTCATATCCTCTGCAGTTTATGCGAAGTGATTTGAAAGAGACAAATGAACAGAAAGGTCGACAGCATAATGCATTTGTCATAGAGAGGAAGCTAAAATTAAATGCAAAGCTTTATGATTTATAGTGTGGCACAGCTTTCCCACCCTCATCTACAGTACAGGCAATAAAACAGGCTGAACAATAAATGCCGCAATCATTTCCGCCTGACCACACATCTCTGCCACTTCAGCTAATGCTGTGAAAAACTGTCCATTGTGTAACTCCATGCACCACACAACAGATGGTACAGTTACACACAGGGGTCACGTGGTGTCTTAAAAATAAGCTCGAGCATATAAATAGGTATCAGAATTAAATAATTCAGTGTAATTTAAACATGTAATCAAACATGTAACCACAACAAAGTTTTAACTTAAATTTAGGAGATAAAAAAGTAATCAATACCTATTGTACAACAATTTCCAGCACACACAGTAGCCTACACCTGTCACCTGCTCAGCCAATTAGCACGCGTACATTATGTGACGTCACACATAGCCTACCTTTCTACCGGTAAATGAAGTAAAGCAATCAAATTTGGCTAAATATGTCATTACGTCGAAATTATTAAGCTATACTAATAATGTTAACTGTAATGATAAAAACGTCTAAAACAGAGCTGAAGACTGACATATGATGCTAGGTGTGGACACCTTTTCGGAGCAAAACAAACTTACCTGATCAAATAACGACGGTTTCTATGGATACAGAAATACTTTTCGTGTCGAAAGCTGGGCGAATATTAATTTGACTTACTTTAGTAATATTTTATAGCGTAAAAATGAAGGATGCGTGCTGCTTCGCCATTCCCGAGCAGTGAGATCCAAAGAACGAGACTAATAATAACTAATAATGCTAACAAAACAATTAACACAGTTTACATTAGACAGTAGCAGTTTCAAAGCCCACCTTATGCCGAAATTCCCGCGCCACTTTTCGCTCCATGATGAACAGCGGGTGTTTTCCGGGTGTGTGTTGCTGTGTGTGCGTCAGTCAGTAGCTGTGAGGGACGCTGGAGTATCAGCGCCGGTCATAGGTCGAGTCCTGCTGCTCTAATATTGCTGTTAGCTTTATTACACGTGCTGACATGGATGGTGGTAATTCAGAGTGCTCTCTAACACCAAACCTTTTCATTTTTCATCTACACTGACCACATAAAGTGCCACAGACGATGTATGGACGTCATTGCATAACAATATATTGAAACACATTTATAAAATAATAATATAAAATAGTAGTAGTAGTAGTGATAATAATAATAATAATAATAATAATAAAAGCAAAACAGGCACACATTTCAAAAGCAAACCTTTTTCAATTTTATCTATCATCTATCTATCTATCTATCTATCTATCTATCTATCTATCTATCTATCTATCTATCTATCTATCTATCTATCTATCTATCTATCTATCTATCTATCTATCTATCTATCTATCTATCTATCTATCTATCTATCTATCTATCTATCTATCTATCTATCTATCTATCTATCTATCTATCTATCTATCTATCTATCTATCTATCTATCTATCTATCTATCTATCTATCTATCTATCTATCTATCCATTCATCCATCTATCATCCATGTATCCATCCATCCGTCTATCTATCTATCTATCTATCTATCTATCTATCTATCTATCTATCTATCATAATAATAATTCCTTACATTTATATAGCACTTTTCTAGGCACTCAAAGCGCTTCACATTGTCAGGGGGTATCTCCTCATCCACCACCAGTGTGCAGCATCCCCCTGGATGATGCGACGGCAGCCATAGTGCGCCAGAACGCCCACCACACACCAGCTTATTGGTGGAGAGGAGACAGAGTGATAAAGCCAATCAGTAGATATGGGGATGGTTCGGAGGCCATGATGATCAGAGGCCAATGAGCAAATTTAACCCTGAAAGAAAGTAACCCTGTCCCGGCACTAACATCTATCATCTATCTATCTATCTATCTATCTATCTATCTATCTATCTATCTATCCATTCATCCATCTATCATCCATGTATCCATCCATCCGTCTATCTATCTATCTATCTATCTATCTATCTATCTATCTATCTATCTATCATAATAATAATTCCTTACATTTATATAGCACTTTTCTAGGCACTCAAAGCGCTTCACATTGTCAGGGGGAAGACACATAAAGCATATTTGTCTTGTTTAACATTTAATTATTGCAGGTTTGTGTCATATTCTGAGTTGCATTATTTTTATTCATTTTGAGGAATACTGAATCTGTGTTTTTTTTGTAAGTGAGATGAATTAATGCATATTCATATTTATTTTAGAGCAGTAACATCTGATTTCTCTCAACATGGGGACAGGAGAGCTGTCAATCAATAAATAGGAAAAAAAAAGTAACTTTCGTTACTTATTTGAAAAAGTAACTCAGATATTCTCTTGTAAATCAAAAAGTAATGCGTTACTTTACTAGTTACTTGAAAAAAGTAATCTGATTACATAACTTGCGTTACTTGTAATATATTACCCCCAACACTGTTAGCTTCAGTGGGCAACCAGTCTTGGGCTGCATGGTGATATGGCTCGTCCGTCCGTCCGTCCATCCATCTATCTAATATGTTTTTTTTTTGTTATTTGTTATACTTTTCATTATTGTGACTATATAGTTCCTTTAAAGAAAAAAAAAACTTTATACAACTTTTAAAATGTGCATAAACAGTTATGGGTAGACTAGACAAAACAGGACAGCAACTGCTTACAGTTCCTATCAACTCCTACCAGTAGTGTTTTTAATCACACAGTAAGTAATTCAAAATAATTTACCCTGTGTGTGTTCTACAGCCCTGTTTTGAGGGTCTTTGTAATTATCATTATTTATCACCATGACAAAACATTAGGCCTAAGACCACACACGTTCACAGGATAATGTGTGTGCTCGTATGTGTCCTGAGGTTAGGGCTGGCATATTCTTGTGTGTGTGTGTGTGTGTGTGTGGGAGACAGTGTATGTGAGAGTGTACATGTGTGTCCGTGTGTGTGTGTGTGTGTGTGAAGTGCTCATTTTCAGGGGAAGCAGTCAGGTTGGCCCCTGCTGGTTCAGCTGTTGGCAGTGTGGTGCTCTTGGGGGGTTTGAGCCCCTGCGCTGACCCAAAGGCTTACAGAGAGGGATTGCAGCCTGTAATTCTATCTCATCAACCCACCATCAAAACACACGGACGGACAAAACTTTAGAGGGCCAGAACAGAATAACTCTTCAGCCTGAATTAAGCATAAATGAATTTTAAAACAGTTTTAAGCACGCAATTTCATTTAAAATAGCTTTAAAGTTTAATATGAGATGATAAAAGACTTATGTCACTCTAAAGTTAAAAAATATACCGTTTTTCTCTTTTACTTTCGAGGGTTAAAACAAGTGCTAAAAACTGCAGTGTTAAAATTGTGAGGTTTGACACATTTCATATTTAACATCATATTGTATTTAAACAGAAAATCATAGCTATATTGCATTTATTTAAAAAAAATGTCACATGTGCATCATATTGCATTTCACTATAATATGTCTGAATGTTTTGCTTTTGTGTTTTTATCATTATTCTCACTAATACTAATGATTTTCATTTATGTAATAAAGTAAGAATAACCTTGCATTTGTTAAATATTATTATAATCCAATAATATAAAACCAATATATAAAAAATATTATATACACACAAAATATTAATCTCAAAACTCTTCTGCAAGACACTTTTGATAAAAGTGTCTCCTAAATGCATGCATTTAAATGTAAAAGAACATAATTTTACAAAATAGTAAGATTACGTTTTAAAAACAATTTCCCCAGATCCTCCAACAAACATGTCATATAAAACAACAAGACCACACTTCTTTTGACGACAAGATCAAAAAAACATACTTCACATCTATTCATACAAGCAGTACTATGATCATTATCCTCTAGGTGGCAGTATGGGAAAGCAAGTCTTGATGTCCCATTGGCGATAGTCATGCATCAGCCCACTCTTACTGTAAGTTATGACACTCATACATCATAATGCAGTCAGGCTGAGTTGCAGCGGTGGGATTAGCGATGACTAGACGGATTTCTATATGCATACTCATATTCTACATCAAGCTCATGTTTTACTTAATCAATTAAATGGATATTTCACACCATAAGTAAATGTTGTCATTATTAACTCACCCTCAGGTCGTTTCAAACATATAAAAAAATTAGTTGTTGGTCAGTAATGATGATTTGGTACCTGAGTAGTTGTAGTAGTATTTCTAAGTTTTATACATTTTTGACTTTCACAGGCTTTTTTCAGTCACACTCCTCTGCGACACACTTGCAATCATCCTCCGCCCAGCCCTTGTGCTTCAGGCTCACAGGAAGAGTCACATTGTGGAGGTGTTGAAAGGAAACAGGCAAATGTGCTAGTGTAGCACTTACGCTAAATGCTCTTGCACCTACAAAAATGTGTGTGGTTCAAGATGTGTGACTCCAGCAACTAAACGTGTGGCCCACCCTGTGGTTGAGCGTAATATATGAATAAAGCAGCCACAGTTTATTGTGTAAAAACTACAGTTTTAATCTTTCTGAAGAAAATGTGAGTGACGTTGCCCCAATGTTAAGGTGCTGGGGTAGTGTAAGTGGGTTTTACTATGCTGTTTATATAAAATTGCTAGGGTGTTGTACGTCTAAAATATTTGTTCCTTATTTTTTCATCCACCAAGTCTGAGGTTTATTCCCATGCTAAAGTAGCTCTACAGGCCGTAATTAAAAAAAAGGTATTGTGTTTATTTATTTATTTTTTCATATGTGTAGTTATATTTAGCTGAGTGATTCATCATACTATTTATTATTATTATTATTCCCACTAATACTGATGATTTTCTTTACTGTAATAATGTATATATATTGAGTATTATTACATTTTAAAACCAATTCCCTCAGGGTCCTCAACAAACAAACATATCATCTCTATGTGAAAAACAAAACAAAAAATAAAACAGTATGATTACATTTTAAAAACAATTTCCTCAGGGTCCTCAACAAACAAACATATCATCTCTATGTGAAAAACAAAACAAAAAATAAAACAGTATGATTACATTTTAAAAACAATTTCCTCAGGGTCCTCAACAAACAAACATATCATCTCTATGTGAAAAACAAAACAAAAAATAAAACAGTATGATTACATTTTAAAAACAATTTCCTCAGGGTCCTCAACAAACAAACATATCATCTCTATGTGAAAAACAAAACAAAAAATAAAACAGTATGATTACATTTTAAAAACAATTTCCTCAGGGTCCTCAACAAACAAACATATCATCTCTATGTGAAAAACAAAACAAAAAATAAAACAGTATGATTACATTTTAAAAACAATTTCCTCAGGGTCCTCAACAAACAAACATATCATCTCTATGTGAAAAACAAAACAAAAAATAAAACAGTATGATTACATTTTAAAAACAATTTCCTCAGGGTCCTCAACAAACAAACATATCATCTCTATGTGAAAAACAAAACAAAAAATAAAACAGTATGATTACATTTTAAAAACAATTTCCTCAGGGTCCTCAACAAACAAACATATCATCTCTATGTGAAAAACAAAACAAAAAATAAAACAGTATGATTACATTTTAAAAACAATTTCCTCAGGGTCCTCAACAAACAAACATATCATCTCTATGTGCAAAACAAAACAAAAAACAGTATGATTACAGTTTAAAAACAATTTCCTCAGGGTCCTCAACAAACAAACATATCATCTCTATTTGAAAAAACAAAACAAAAAATAAAACAGTATGATTACATTTTAAAAACAAGTTCCTCAGAGTACTCAACAAACAAACATATCATCTCTATGTGCAAAACAAAACAAAAAACAGTATGATTACATTTTAAAAACAAGTTCCTCAGAGTACTCAACAAACAAACATATCATCTCTATGTGCAAAACAAAACAAAAAACAGTATGATTACATTTTAAAAACAATTTCCTCAGGGTCCTCCAACAAACAAACGTGTCATCT